GAGCACGTAGCAGAGCTACACAGTGTTCATCCTTGGCATATGCCGTACGGATTAGGTCAGTGACCGACGACGATAGAGTCGTAACATGAGCAAGCTCATAGTCAGGCCTGCGTGATAACGCATCAGCCAAAGCATTCTTCTTGCCCGGATTATACTTCACCTCGACTTTATACTCGGCAAAGAAGGAAAGCCAACTAGCAATTCTCGGAGAGAGGTGAGGCGACTGGGTCGCAGTGCGTAGTGACGCATGATCTGTATCGATCACAAACGGCTTAGAGCCAAGAAGATGAACTCTGAATTTGACGAGAGCGTACTTCATTGCAAGTAGCTCTTTGTCATGAACAGGATAGTTCTTTTCTGCAGCCTTCAGCTGCCGAGACTCAAACGCAATTACGCGTTCCCGTCCATCATTATCTGTTTGTAACAAAGCGCTGCCTATGGCAAAGTCAGATGCGTCACAGACGACACTCAAAGATCGATCAGGATCAGGCAAATCCAAAGTTGGCGCATGAAGGAGACTCTCCTTTACTGCTTGAAAAGCATCATGCTCGGTGCTGATCCAGCACCAATCCACATCCTTTTTACGGAGATTGGATAATGGCCGAGCCATAATCGCGTAGTTCGCACTGTACTTATGCAAGTAATTGGCAAGGCCAAGCCACTTACGTAAGTCCATTTGGTTCTTTGGAACCGGCCAATAAACTATGGCTTTTACCTTAGCGGGATCCGCTCTAAGGCCTCGCTTTCCAATAAAGCACCCTAAAAAGGGAATCTCTTCTGCACCAAAGATGCACTTAGACGCGTTGGAGTACAACTTATTCGTGCGCATGCACTCGAGCACCGCTCGTAAAGGTTCAATGTGATTGTCCACATCTAAACGACCGTTCATAGCACGACTATGGACAAAGATGCCATCAAAGTATGTCTGTGCATAACCTCTATGAGGTCTGAACAATTGTTTCACAAGACGATTGAATGTAGCCGGGGTATTTGATAAATTTCTTGCTGCATAACAAGCCACTTCCAGAGCATACCGCTTGGAGTGCTGACCGCTGTCAGCGGAATATCGCTTTCTCGCATGAGAAGTTGGTAATAACCATCGACTAAGTCGAGCGCACTGTACATTGTACATCCCACCATATTATTCTGAAGAGCACCCTTCCTCGGAATTGGTGTCTGAGACGGGATGGTGGCCGCATTAAGCTTATTTTAAGCATGAACAATGCGTCACTTCCCATTGGTCCTTTTGACACAGAAGGTCGGTGTGGAATGTGGAGGTTTGCTCCCACTTACAATTCCTGCCGCGTGCTTTGCACGAAAGAAGTCGTCCATGACGTCACACTGTTCCTTCGGTAAAGGCCATTGCCATGTTACGCAGTATTTAGTTCCAGGGACCAAGTCAATTTCATGACGTACACCTCTATCGGGAGGCAAGACGGACGGTGGGTTGTGACACATCACGTCCTGAAACTCCTATACCAAAGGATATAACGGATCAAGAGGATCCTTAAGGATCGACAGTCCACTACGGGCATCCAATGCCGCCTTTGTGTCCTCAGGGACAGACTCGACCAATAACGAGGAGGAGTTCAACTCAAGATCCGACCGCATGACCACTAAGCCGTATAATTCTCCTGCCTGTAAGGCTTGGCTAAATTCGCCGTCAGACATTTCGTCTAGTTCAAAGAGAGTATCTAAGGATGGAAGAGTCTCAAGACTAATATTGCCATCAATCTGGCCAGTCACTCCGTTGACAAGTGTATATAGTGTATGATTACTATTATCACTTCGTGACTTCATAGACGTTGGGCGCTTGACAGTTGCTACCCTACGATGAGATTGTTTCCTCAAGGAAACCTAACGCCTCCTAGAGGCCGGGACATTAGGGTCCCCGTGGTTGCTATTCATCGTAGCACGCTCTATACGAGAGCTCATGTCTTGAACGACACCTGGTAAAGTGTTACGTAACCCGAACACTTCGCCCAGTGAATTTACACGTACCACTTCACGTACTACATTCGGGCCTAGACCTGAACATTCTGGCTTCTCGCCATCAATGTCATTACCGACATTCAGTGAGGTGCCACCACGGCCGCCCTCACTCGGTGGGATTTTACGTGCCACCCAACTCACATCAGAGGGATTACATTCTTGATGTCTCGGCCCTAGGTCAACCATGCCTGCAGCATGCAGTGACTCATTATCACAACGAGTATCACTCAACGGAGTATAACTCTCCTTACATACGGTGAAGGAGCTCCGCTCAATATGGATGTCATCGACATTGGAGTTAATTAACTTTGACATACCAATCTCCGGCACATTGACATCTTCCGTCAATGGCTCGCGCCAATAGCGCTTTTGTTGCCTAGCAAAGGTGGGTTCATGACTCTCCAAAGCTTCGCTAGAAACATTGCGCGTGGCGCCTAAGGTCTTAGACCTCCAATCTATCCATGGCTCATGGCGTTCAAGCCAATCCATACCCAGGATGAGATCGTATCTCGAATCCAAATCGAGGACAAGACAGCGTTCAATGCCGTCAAAGTCCAAAAACTTCACACCTAAGTTCAACGGAACTTAAGGCACCGTGACGCGACTACCCGTCGCTAACCGAACAGTGATGGAATCACCTTCATGCGCTTTGAGCGCTTCAGCATATCGCTGACTTCCCTCAGACGAACGACGTCGATCATAATTGCATGATGCTCCGGAGTCGATTAGGATCGACCAATGCTTCTCAAAGTCTTTAATCTTCGCGTCGGCGACTAACAAGCCAGGCTTGTATCCACTCTCTGTGCTGGCGGGCATAGAGCTCAGTGGGGCTAAGCCCTGTTTCACTCTAACTCGTAGAGAAGCAACAGAACTCAGTTCTACCTCTGTAGGCCGCCCCGCACCTACTGGGTGTCGACGTTCCCCCGTGCCATACCAGGTTTCTGGTTGTGGCTGGGGTTTCGACCCATAGGAGTCGGTTGTTGCTTACGCACAGGAAAAGTGGGACGCAAGTGTTTAGTGCTTTCGCACATATAACAGCGTTTCACTTCCTGTCGTTGATCTGCAACATGAAGCTCCGCTTCACCTTCATCTTCAGCATGGCTTAGATCCATAGGTTCTGGCTTACAGTAAGCCGAGGTACCCGCAGAGGTTGCCCTTTGAAAGCTTGGGTTGTACCCATTCCAACCAAGTCTGGCCGACTTGAAGTTGTGTTCAGCATTATGAGCGATGCTAACAGCCTCCTCAAAAGTAGAGGGATGGACCCAAAACACATCGGTCCTGGCAACGTCATTACGACGACCTTCCATGAAGATAGTCACATATACTGTCTCAGGGAGAGGATCAGACTGCATAGCAGCCATCAGAGCTCTCAACTCTTGGACGTAGTCCGTTAACTCATTCTTACCCTGACGGGTAGACAAGAAGCGTGAGCGCACGCGATAGGCCTGGTTAGGCGGCGAGAAAACTCGCAATAGGTCTAACTTGATCGAATCCCATGTGGGAAACGCCAAGTCGACCGACGTGCCACACGTCAGAGCCCATTCTCTAGCTCTTCCATCGAGCTTGTGGATGGCCAGCGAGACCCGCTGATAATCCAATGAGATAAGGCCAGAGCTCATGGCCATCTCAATATCACGGATCCAGAGGGTCAGGTTTCCCCCCCTCCTTCCCGGAGTAATGAATAACGTCCACCCCAAGGGGACGAGGCTTAGCCTCTTCATTTGGCATCGCCACGTAGCGTGTTGGCATAGACGACGCTACTTGGTTTTGAACCTGCCCTATAAGAGCCGTTTCGTAGTGCATGAAGGCCTCGACTCGTGCATTGAGCACATCGGGACCTTGTGCAGCTAGAAGCTCCACATACTCAGGGCCTAGGACCGCGGTCAGCTTCTCAAGCGCAACCTTTTGGGCCTCAGATAGGGGTATGGATTGCTCCATCCTCACAGAGGATCAGTCGTTACCGACTCAGGCGTAGATTGACTACTAGTGCTACCAAGTGTAGCGGAGCTACACAGCTCTTTGAGTCAGAAGAAGACTTAACGCTCAATGAGCAACTTTGGTTCTACGAACCCGACTCAAAGAGTCAACAGCCTCGAGAGCTAATGTTTGGTTCAAAGAACCCGACTCAAAGAGTCAACAAGCTCAGAGAGCTTACGGTCCCTGTTCCAGGGGGACCAAACGATTCAAAGAATCAAACGAACTGAGTGCACAAGGAGTAGCTGCCTTAACAAGGCGTTGCTACCTCCTTAACGATCGCAAGACGCCTCAGAGAGGCACGTGTCTTTTGGATCAAAATGGGAACTGAATTTTATTTCTTCTTTTAACCTAAAAGAACACCGTAATTAACCTACTCACTAATGTTTTAAATAAACCTATTAAACGATCTCGTAATCAATGGTTGACAGACATCAGTCTTCAACAATTGACACTTGTGTTCTATTATTACTTTAAAGGAGATCCCATCCCTTGTGTGTACCACACCTATTGTCGACTACCAGTCGACGTGTAAATCCGTTACAAGATAACAATACCGTACCATTAGATACTGTGTATGACAATCGATAGAAGCAACATGGCCATTCCAAACTAAGATAGAATACACTGCTAGGTCTGGCCAGAAGCATCCCTGCACCTTTCCTACTTGCAAAAGGTCTGTCGACGTATGCAGAAAAAAAGGTTATTATTCATGTAATAAGAGATGGAACGCAGCAGATACACGTGAATGGCATATGAATAGTCGCAGGTATGAGTATATCTGGTCGCACAGTACACATCAGTGATGCATTATTTTTTCTTTTCATTCTTTTCTATATTTGCGATTATTCTGGTGCAGATTTTCGTTTCTATAGCATGAAAAATCAGAGCTAGTAAAAAAGCCAAAACTTTACAAAAGGAACAACAACACAAAACGACAAAAAACCTCACGTGCCCCCCTCGTCGGCGTCTGATTGTTGCTCGACCAAGCAAGTGGATCACCTCGTCGTACAAACGAAAATCAACGATCTAGCATGACGAGTCCGTCTCCATCGCCGCGCGACGACAAGCTCGAGCTCGTGACGGTCGAAGAGCAAGAAGAGTTCCTCGAGGTGCTCAAGCAGCTCAACCTGGCCACGTCCCAGCAGCAGCAGCAGCAGCAACTGCAAGCGCGACAGGCGGCGTCCGACCGCAACGCGCTCGCCGCTCAGAAGGATTTCAAGTTCTGGAACACGCAGCCAGTGCCGGCGTTGGACGAGTTCCCACGGGAACACGGGGCCATTGACCCGCCCAAAAGCATCTCAGACGTGCGTCAAGAGCCGTACAACATGGCATCGGGGTTCGTCTGGAGCGAACTGGATCTTTCGGACGCACAAGCAGCTCAAGAAGTGTACGACCTGCTCACGCAAAACTACGTGGAAGACGACGACAATATGTTTCGATTCGATTACTCAGTGGACTTTCTCAAGTGGGCACTCACCCCTCCGGGTTACCACAAGCACTGGCACGTGGGTGTCCGCAACGCCAAGACGAGGAAGCTCATGGCTTTTATCTCGGGGATTCCCGTCCGTACGCGTGCGTACACAAGTGTCATGGCCATGGCAGAGATTAATTTCCTCTGTGTGCACAAGAAACTCCGGACGAAACGACTAGCGCCCGTGCTGATCAAGGAGATTACACGTCGAGTGAACTTGTGTAATGTCTGGCAAGCAGTGTACACGGCTGGCGTTGTGCTGCCGATGCCCGTCGCCCAGTGCCGCTACTTTCATCGGTCGCTGAACCCGAAGAAACTGATTGAAGTGGGCTTCTCGAGACTTGCACCGAGGATGACGATGACGCGTACGATCAAGATGTTCAAGCTACCGGAGACCACGAACGTGTTGGGGTTCCGGCGTATGGAGAAGAAGGATGTCGCGCCCGTGACCGCGCTCTTGGAGACGTACTTGGCCAAGTTTGACCTTGTGCAACACTACGACCAGCACGACGTGGCCCACTGGATGCTTCCGCGTGACGGTGTTCTTAGTGCGTACGTTGTAGAGAACCCCGAGACTCACGAGGTCACGGACTTTACGAGCTTCTACCACTTGCCATCGACGGTGATTGGCCATGACAAGCATAGTAAGCTGAATGCTGCCTACTCGTTCTACAATGTGGCTACAACGGTGTCGCTGGCAGAGCTTGTAAACGACACGCTGATCATGGCCAAGCAAGAGGGCTTTGACGTGTTTAACGCGCTCAACCTCATGGACAACGCAGAGTACCTGCAAGAACTCAAGTTCGGCCCTGGGGATGGCGACCTCATGTACTACTTGTACAATTGGCGCTGCCCACGCATGGAGAGCAACAAGATTGGTCTCGTGTTGTGCTAGGTCGCGTGCACTGTGCTAGAGCTGAGAGTCCAAGGCTGAGGTCATGGACGAGATAGATGGTCTGCTGTGGACACAGTGCAAGTACGTGGCATGAGCCCAGGACGCAGGTAGAAGCTCAGCAGCATACGGTCGCCATGACGGTACGTCTGGACTTAGGACGTGCGTGAACAATGGTAATCGAAAGAGAGCTGCGGATGATTGCTGACTCGGTGCGTGTTGCAAAGGATCCAGCTGCCACGACTCGTTCTTGTTGTGGTGCGCGCGTGCATGCGTACTTGTGACGCAGATCCTTCAGTAGACGAGGCAGGTCGGACAAGCATCCATCGGCTGGGTACGGAGGATCTATCGAGCTATCGAGCTTGCTGTGGCATGCAGGCGCTCGTCTGATGCTTGATCCGACCATGACGTCGTACGTGTCTATCTGCTTTTAAGCTGACTAGAATTGGATTGTTCAGCCATTCAGGTTGCGCGTCCCGTGTCCCATGTACCTGATTGCGCAATGCTGGCTGCTCTGCCCATTGCGACGCGGTTGCTGGCAGCCACAATAAGTTGTTTACTTGGCTGCGAGCAAATCTATGCATGCAACGCATATGGACTTTATGCACAGTCGAGTTAGAGTTAGCCTGCGAAAAAGGTAGCACGATGACCTAAGGCCATAAACCGGACTGCAGTTTGTTTGTCTGCGTGGGTGTCACGACACAGCGTCACACCCACAACGAAAGCTGAAGTTTGCAGAAAATACAACCGGCATATGCTTTGGTGACAAGGCGTCCGTTATCTTCTCGAAGCAATGGGCGATCATCAAGATGCGCGTCAGGTGCACACGTTGATACAATATCCGGCGCATTCCAATGAATGGAACTACACACAACGCTCGTAGAATCGAACCCACAGCGACTGGAGCAGACGTTGCTCACTGACGCACGCACGCATGGCGGACGAAGAAGAAAAGGTGTCGAACTTCGGATCAGTCGGTCCCTTCGTCATGGGACAAAGATGGGTGTAAGTGACGTGCACGACCTGCATGACGCGCACTCTGTAGCCAATGGGACTTGTCTCGTGGTGTCGTTGTGCCTCCCAATAGTCTGCGCGGTGACAACAAGGGGCTCGCGTGGTAAACCGAGTACGCCTTGATCTCTTGTTCGCACGAGGAAGTGGGGCGTGGTCACCTTGCAAGACCCGATGGCGCTTTTCTCGCGCAGGAGCAGGACACTCGTACTGCCATAGGCAATCGTGGAAGCTACGGGCGTCCGAGATCAGTACGGGGCCCTTGTGACAGACACTCGAGCTATCAATTGAGCTGGACGTAGTCAAGGCTTCAGACGAACGTTCGTGGATTCCTTCATTTGCGGATCCCGCGAGACTCTGTCAATCTCGTCTGGAACCACCTCTTGCCTCATGAACAGCTACCAATTCATCCCCGAGCCAAACAACTTAAGCACTCGATAGCGAGATATACCGTCGGGAAAGCGTACCAACTGCAAGAGCTACACGCTCCGAGCACTGGCTGGCCACGTTCGTCAAGAGATCCCCCTTCACGCGCGTGTATCGTCGGCCGCGAGGAAAGAAAACTACGTGGCGTACAACTGTACCATCGTAAGCGTGACGACCGCAACACGGTGGCGAGTCTCGTACCGCGCTATTCAGAGTTCCTTGCTTTTCGCAGAAAGGTGGAGGAGTCGTGGACGTGCAACGACAAGGACTGCTGCGGTTCGTGCCAAGCTATTCGTGATGCCACGGCAGCTTTTTTCAAAGAGACGCCCGGTATGATGTCAAAACGATCTCGAGCTATCAAGCATCGCGGGGCTAAGCTGGAAAACGTGCTGGTGCATTTGCTTCGATGTGTCCTGCTGTCTGGCAGTGCAATGAAGTGCTCTCATGCACGACGGGGACTACCGCCCCATCTTTTCGAGTTTCTCGGTGTCAAGCGTGACGCGGATAAGCGCTCACTCCTGCACGTGTTTGTGGGCAGCCTCCAGCCGGGCCTCAAGAAGGAAGCGGCGACCATTACGAACGTATCGATGCCAGAGCCCCGAGACCAGAGGAAGAGATCGTTGGTCACTTGTGACTTGTCATCGCTAGTCCCAAGTATGTCTATCGGAGATCCGACTGACGTCGACCAATGTGCTATCTGTCTCGACGTCGTGAGCTGGAGCGCTTCAGCTGAAGTCGATACAAGCAGTAGCAAGAGACCAATCGTCCTGCAGCGCGAACACACGTTTCACCGCAAATGCATTTTTGAATGGTTGCTGTTCCAGTACGACTGCCCTGTGTGTCGAGCTCAGGTGGGGTTTTCTGCTGTAACCAACTACTGTCGCCAGAAGAATCAAGTCCAATGGTGGCTCAGCGACTTTAAGGAGAACCCAGTGCCTCCTGCAGCTCGTTAAGCCATTGGCGCTTCTTTCAGCCTGTTGGTTGTATGCAGCAACGAACAAGTTGCTGGGTATGACTTTACAACGCTTTGTTGTTCGATCGGTCAATCGACTGCGGTCGATGTAAACGTGTATTAGAATGAAACCTTAGCTCAAGTGCCAGTGCTGTATGCATTGGTAAGACTGATCTCGCCGTGACTGCAGCCAAAATCGTAGCAACTTGATGCGACGGAAGTCGGTCGCGCGACGAAGTATCGTGCAAGAAGATTGATATCATGTTGATCGAGCGATTTCGCGCGACCCCCTCGGTTCAACTACTACAATACCGACATCAAAACTCAAGTACATTTAGCTGTTTGCTGTTGTGGTCATACCAGCAACCTTCGGCAGACTACAATGCCGCAAGGAAAGAGGATGGTCGTGACATCGTGTCCCGTGTAAATGGTGAAGGTGTTGTCCGAAGAAATAAATTATCGTTAGGATCTGAAGTGTACGCACTGTCTTACTCAGCGAGTGGGTTCTGCTTAAAGTTGCCAAGCCACCACTGTTCCTGCATCTTTGGGCACGCGTAGTTTGTCGTGGCATGCGGACCAACCTGTGCACGGCACATTGGGCAGTGGTACTGAAATAGCAGCCACTCAAAGATACACTCGCGGTGATACGCGTGCTTGCACGAGAGCGTTACAAGACCCTGTGGACCAGTAGCATGCACATCATTCTCGACGTTGTCGAGACAGATCATGCACTTTAGCTCCTCCACATCGCTGGCCGCGCCTTTCTCTTCGGCATCAAGCTCCATCTGAGCCAAGTTCGGCGTCGTTGCAGACTTTTGCATCGAAGCTTTCGCCGCAACGCCTTCCAGCGACGACAGTGCCGTGTGACTCGAAGACTTCTTCATGCCACGCTGGTGGTTGTCCACATACACCTGCAGTAGCGACCGCTTGTCTGCGTTGTCCTCAATGCCCAGGAACTTGAAGAGAGCAGGAGGTAGTTGCTGACGTGCGTGGAAGCACTTCATAATGCTGCCGGGGAGCAGTACCGACCGCAGCAAGTGGATCAGCACGTTCTTGAACTTGTTCTTGCGGTCTTCTACCATGAACGACCAGGTCGACATGGGGCCCACTTTCTTTGGGAAACACGCGTCAATGAGGTCGCGGAGGGACTGGCATGATCCTTGACACTTGCCATCGTGGCACGTCCACAGCTCTTCGACTTGGGTGCGAAATGCCAGGAACTCCGAGTACCGGTACGATGCGTGGCATCGGTTCTGGGTCGACAAGCTCGACGTCGTGATCGTGTATACGGCATAGCCCTCTTCTTTCTTGGTTGCGCTGACGCTCAGACGAAGTGGCAACTCGCTCCCCGTGCACTGACGCAGCTCTTTGAGCGTGTAGATCTTCGACGCCGGTCGTTTCGGCGGTTGGGGCGTCACGTGGTCTGGCTCAACGGATCTGTTCATGGTGATGTCGTGGACAGAGTGAATGGGGAAGTGGTTCCTTCGCTGGTTGACCGATGGATCGATCCGTTGTGTTACTATCGATCGGAGCTGTAGGTGGTAAATTGCACAATGACTCTCCACATGGACGTTAAACGACTCGGCATAGCGCACGCACCTCTGCGAATTCGGATGGCTACTTTTGCGTATTGGGTTCCCGCCACAAATGGGTGACTCCAAGGCCACTGGAGTCTATGAGACAGGAACACGCCTATCTGCGACGCGCCTTTCGAACATCCGCGTCCAACTTGGCACGCGCCACTTGATTGGGCCGTGGCAGCGCGTCACGCACGTTCGGGCGTAGGCGGCACTTGCGTACATCCGCGTTTATGTGCGACGTCTCCAAAAGACGGGCGTCGTGCGCACGTAGTAGAGTCGAGACACGATGACAAGAAACACGACAGAGGTGTGCGGTGCGCAAGCGAAAGGGTCGTCTGCAACGACGCCGTGCGCGTATGGCACTCAATAAGATCGAGAGCGACTGAAGTACGAGGTACGTTTTCTTTTCCAGGCAAGCAACACACCTTGTCCCTTCCGTGCCACCACTACAGGCACGCGAAGGGCACTACAGGCAGTTATTGTAGTTGACTGCTCGAGGTCCGCGTCATGTGCACAACGAGATATAGCTACGAGGGTGTGTACGTGCGTCTGTATATCTTTCCTAGACACATGGTGCCTGAACGAGTCAATATGTTGGCCCGTCTATCGATCGGTTTTCAAGTCCCGCTCGGTTGGGTACGTTTGTGCCGTACGTCAGAAGGCGAGGAGGCTTTCGACGCACGGCGATGGGAACGCCTACGGAATCGTGCATAAGTCTGTCGTCATGAAGACAACAGTCGTCACGGAGCCAGCAGTCGTCACGGAGCCAGCAGTCGTCGTTTTTGCGACAAACACGCTCGTGCGATGGCCATCAGGAGAGTGACGCTTGGCGCCAGTCGAATGCACAGGCGAAGACGCTTTGTGGACCAGTGGCGATGCCTCAGCATCCAAGAAAAAGGACACCGGGTCTGGATCTCGATCTGCGTGTGAGACGATCAGTCAGGACCAGCGGTACGAGCAGAAGCGAAGGAGCTGTAGCGCATAACGAGTCTTTTTCCTCAGGTTGTATGGTACGACGTGTTGCGGTGATGAAGACAGGTGGTCCAACGCATACGATCGATTCGAACAACGACACGTATAATTGCAAAGGCATGTACTTTTATGCTGGATACTGCATCAGTTACATGCTACGCGTCGACATCGACTTGTGTGTTGGGTGCTGAGACTGCTAGAACGGAGCAACAGCACAAACTATGCCGACGACGCTTTCCTCATCAAGTTGTCAGCAATATACACCGCGTCCAGCCCTCATTGACCTTTTGAGTCGATCAAACCTGTGCTACATACATACAGCGCCATTCGAAGCAATAACGACTCTTGTCCGCACGAACCCTGACCAACGATGACTTTTGACACGCACGCACCATCACCTCTCGACACTCACGTACCATCGCCTCTTGACTCCTGCAGCGCGAGACTTGCCTCCTCGCTGCAGAGTACAGCCACAATATGTAACGGGGTGAGCCCATTACATGTCATTGATATTAATATGTAAATGTTACTTAATCTTTGTTGATAATATTCATCAACATCTCCTAACCAACTTTTAATGTAGTATTACATTTAGAGTTAATATTCAGCACTGCTTCACAATTGGTTGATATATGCCATGATATCAGCCGAAGAAGCCACCAATCGCTGCTAGACGCGCGCATGGGTGGTGAGTGAGATTCTGCATTGGAAATTTGCAGTTTGATCTAGTGCAAGTAAGATAAAGAGGGTTTGTTTATGAGGCTTACCTATATTTAAAAACATCGATTTACAATTCATTCCTTTCGAGCAAATGATGATCAAATTCTTCACTTCCTCTGCACTTACGGTGTACACGAAGTTTTAAGAGCGCACATCCTTGTACTATTACGGCACAAGGGCTTACCAGTTACATGGTAATAAGTTAGCCCCAGTACACATGGTAACACTTATGCACGGTCCGGTCAATGACCACGGTCGTTTCACCCAACATGAACAAACTTAATGAGGGAAAAAGCTTCATGTCACGCGTGGTGGTAACTACCATTTAAGTGATTTTTATTAAAATGTGGTTAGGCGAATGAGTTTTTCTTTAGTGAGATCGCCATTAGTGGTATGATAGAGTCTCTTGACAGAGATCAACATCATGCGATTTTCAAAAGCTCATGCAGAATAAATTTGTTGCCGAAAGGAAATAGTTAGCCTTACCTGTAGCGGAGCTACACAGCTCCTTAAGTCAGAGGAAGACTTAACGCTCTTACGAGCAACTTTGGTTCTACGAACCCGACTCAGAGAGTCAACAAGCTCAGAGAGCTTACGGTCCCCGTTCCTAAGGGACCAAACGATTCAAAAGAATCACAGCACAGAGTGCTCAGGAGTAGCTACCTTCACAGGTATTGCTAGCTCCTACCGATCAAAGACGCCTCG